TTCTGATCCCTTGAAACGATTAGATGAGTAGTATATTTTTTCTGATAACGCACGACACTTCCATGAGGACGTTATTCAAGTATCTTTACCTACCATAATTCTCCGTTAATGCTATTTAAAATTGGAACTTTACATACTTGAATGGTTTTGCAAATATCCGCAAACTTGATGAATGCTTGCTCGCAAAAGCTTGCTCTGCCATGTCACCGTAGTCCAGAGTAAAGCGCCTAAATAGGTCATTTAAGCAAGCAGAACTTTGACCGGCAGAGTAACTTCAACCAACCTCTCATCATTCTCAATTTCTTTTTCTTTCTTATTACCACCTTCAATAGTATACGGCTGTTGACCTTCATCAGTAACCTGGAATTCGCAGTTTCTTGTATATAATTATACAATCGCTTGAACAACAGTACCGCTATATTATAGTGCACATCCAAACACACAGGCCTTATTGTCGCATTACTTCTGTTTACGTTGTTGTTGGTGACCTTCCTGAACAGAATTTTCAACTTATGGTGTTGTGCGCAAAAATCGGAGGCAGTCTTGTTCATGACGTACTTTTTGCAAAGATACTGAGAACAGCGCACAATTTTCGTCATACAATGAGCATTGAGAAAACCAATGCCAACGGACAATATAAGGCCTGTCTGAAAAAAGGGATTAAACTTACCTGAAAGTGCGAAAACAAAGTTTTTAATATTGAACGTAATGATGTTGACCTGGAACTCACCCAAAATCCAGCCTTTTGAAAAGCTAGTGGAACAGCAAAAACACCAACTCCAACAGTTGCCTTAACTAGGTTAATAAAGGCATATGAGCTCCTAAATTCGAATTATGTAATATCATAATCGCTATAGCTTTACTCGAAGATACCTAATCATCCCCAGAGCTTTTAAAAATTGGTGGCAGACTCCTTTAAACAGGCGAATGCCTACTTTACAAGAAAGTCCTACCAACACTGATGTAGGAAGTTGAGCGTTAATCAACATTTTATCTTAGCAGCAATATAAGTGTATAAAAAGCATCATATGACTTACGACATA